ATGTCGGAGGGATCGGGACCTGACCTTGGGTTTACCTTCTGCCATGGATGGATTGGTCTGGATGGGTCTAGATTGGTCTGGATGGGTCTGGATTTTAGCTGTGACTGCTCTGCTTGGTGGATCTGAGCCAACTGGGAAATGTGCATATTTTATGTGATGTTTTACCCGAGTTTGTGGTTTCACCCTCAACATGTGAGCTGTATGTGAGCTGTTTGTGAGCTGTGCAGTCTAGGTCCAGGTCCAGGTCCAGGTCCTGCTGTGTCAAAGTCAAATCTGAGGAACAGGGAGTTGGATGGTCTTGGTCTGAGGGAGTGAGAAATATAGGTTCTTTATATAATTATATATTTTTATATATTTCATGACACTTTGAAGCAGCCGTAGTTAAAGTTGAATTCATCATTATAACATTATGACAGTGTTTCCCAACCTTTTTGAGCCGTGTTACTCCGTTTTCATTTAAAACCACACGGCACACCACCTGCTGACTGATACACAAATCAGACTCAGACAAATGAAATCTTGTACACCAAAGCGACCTGGTCGTTTATTCACAAAATGGCAGTTAATTCAGGCCGAACAAGAAACACAGATACATTATATATTTAGATTTACGTCATCATAGGGCTGGGCGATATGGCAAAAAAATAAAATCTCAATTTTAGTTCCTGATTGGACGATTTCGATTTTAAATCGATTTTCATTCAAGTCACCCGAAGACAGACTTTGCCCTTAAAAATATGTTTTGATCTTTCCGCTCAATATTCAAGTATTGCAAGTATAATTCATGTGCTGCTAGAACTCTCACAATATTCCTTCATTCGATTTCACGATTTTAAAATTTTTCACAAATTCAATTTTTTCAAAAGCCGATTAATTAACTACATTTGATTTTTTGCCCAGCCCTACGTCATCATGAAAAGGAGGCCGCATCCAGGCGCCAGTTAACTCAAACAACAGAGTCCTTGTGATCCTTGTGACTTCCACGAGGCCAGATTATTTGTACTATTTTGTCTTCCGTTTGTCCACCTGTGTAGGCCATGGGTCACTATTCACCACGCACACATTAAACTTTATACTGTAGACCAGTGTATCCCAAAGTGGGGTTCGCGGCATGGGGGCCGGGCCGCGAGAGGTCATCCATTTTTATTAATTAATTAATTTAATTATTGTATGTTAAATTAAAGATATTTTGTTTGTTATATTATGATATAATATCACAAATAATGAATACAGATATAATATATGTGTTCATTATTTGACTTGGATCATCAAATTGTTATCATTTGTGTATTACAAAGTGGGGTGCGTCATTTACACGTTTGTCGCAGAGGATATTTCCCCAAAATGAAATAACCAGAAGAGCCTATTTTTAACGTTGTCTTCTTGGTTATTATTTTGGGGGGCCTCGCAGACCCGTCAGATTTTTAAGGGGGCCCCGATGTTACTGACTTTGGGAATGGCTGTTGTAGACATAAATAGCAAATCAAAAATCAAGTCTTTTTCATTTTCTTGTGTCATTTTATTTTCACATTCAGGTGACATTGGATCATTTTCAAAGGCACACCAACATGCCACGGCACACTGGTTGAATAACATTCCTCTGTGCTATAATATCACCTGCATTCTGTGACTCTTTGTTCGTGTCCCGTCTCCATCATTGACAATAAAAAAAAAATCTGTTTTTGATGAAACTTGTTCATTTTCATGACAACCGCTTCATGTTTTATTTAAGGTTTACTACAAGCCAATGATGTTTTAGGGAGTGCAATACTCGTGACTACACTTTTAGACTTTCTGGGTTCTAGTTGACGTTTGACTTCCTTGTTAAAGAAGAAACCACTATAAAAATAATGGAAACAAAGCTCTCCAGGAGTTTCCTCCGCCTGTTTCACCTCTATAGTCCTTCCAGTGGCCTCCTCTAACTACTGTCTGTTTCTGGAGTGTATTTAGTTTAGTATTCTGCCTCAGCTCCTTCTCTGTAACCTCAGCCTTGTGTGATTACTCAAATTGAAGTATTCTAATCTTGTCCTTGTTGTTGTGAGCCCTTTTGGTGGAAAACCTCAACGAGCACAATAAAAAAGCCGAGAGACAGATGCTATTTACTGCTGAGGGCCTTTGTTGTTACCTACTTGATAAGAGCTTGACGGCCGCAAAGACTCTCCAGGGTTTAATGTTTCTCACAGCACCACGGCAGGAAAACACAGCATCATTTCCTACGATGATCACATCTGTCCAAGTTCGACACCAAACGGGCCGGCTTTGGGTTAGAGAAAAGATAAAAGAAAAGGTCTGTGTCTAACATGTAGGTTTTCTTTGTAAGAGATCAAAGTCACGGCAGAGTCTGTAACCCCATCTCTCACCTCTGATGACAAAAGGATCCTAAGTGAGAGAAACTTGAGGTGTCGAGGTTTAAAATACCTGAGACGCACCACCTCCGAGTGTGAAAACAATTGGCAGAGCGCAGACGGTGTCAGGTTGCCTCCAGGGCAGATGGGGCGAGTACAACAGGAGGCGCGATGTTTACGCCGCTGATGTCAGGAAGGGAGGAACCAGAGCAATGTCTCCGTGACACGCTTGGCCTCTGTAAATCTCCAGGGATGCCGAAACTAAAAGGCCGGTGATGATTAGAAAATCAATTTGGCCGGCCATCACTCAATGCCTCCGACACGGGACAGGATTGCAGACCATCCCTCAGAGTCAGATCGGGCTCCGGCCTCTGGAGATTCACGCCCTTTTTTTCACGCTTTGTTAATTAAGCGCCCAAGCTGCCCCTCACACTCACTTATTTATGAATCTTGGCTTTAACTGATACCGGAGCCCACTTGGTCCTCTCTAATTAGTCCCTCACGAATGGCCTTGCTTGAAGATAATCCACACAAACTCAACATGGCGACTCTTTCTATCCTCTCAGTTTTTGCCGGGGCTGGACAGGCACGCCCACTTAACCTTGGCGTTATGCTAGCCGTGTCGTTAGGGGTTGCCTTTCTGTGGGGTTGGGTAAAAGTGGGCCGGTTGGTATAATGAGACAACACTTTAAAAAAAATCAATTTCCATCTGGGTCTGTCTGAGTAATTCCTCACCTGTTCATTACGACTGAAATAGAGCCCATGGATGTTTTACGACTCGACACCGACGAGAAAAGCTGCTTCAATCTCTTTGCTTACTCTTCTTTATAACTTAGCTCTGCAATTCATTACATTTTAATCAAGGCCGAGTTTCAGTCCATTTGAATAGTTAATAATATACTTGGTCTACAGAGGTCTACAGCAGGCTCTATAAACCACTACAGTGTTTTATTAGATTTACAACTACAAATTATGTCTGATATTTTTACATTATTTCTCATATTTTCTTGTATGTTTTCTGTAATTACAGCTCAGTCATGAAATGTTTTGTGAATATGTTTTAGTGTGTTCCAAACAAACACATACAGTATTTGAGTCAATAGAGTAATTTATTAACTTGATACAATTAACTGTATTTTTTTTTAAACAAATTATGCATAGTGCTTTTGGAGATAGTATTATTAGTATTATGATAGTATTATTCATTCATACATATTCATACATAATATAGTAAGACATTTGACCAAAGAGTGAGACATTCTTTTAAGTTTTTGTTTATTGTGAGTTATCTTGGGTTTCTTATACTTTATACGGTACAGATTTTAAACATATATAGCTTACATTGCACATCCCGTGTAGACCACACAGGGTTCTCAGCCCGTCTCTTGGCCTTGGTCCATGCCTTAAACACCGGTGCCGTCAGATTTATTGTGTGGAAGCCCCAGGGATTCATTTGTATTCTACCCACTTGTTTGAGGGTCAGGGCTGATGAGGACCGGTCAGAATGAACCCTGTCTGTGCATGACTGACCTCCGCCCGCTCACCCGTAGCACCTGCAGGTCTCCCCCAGGTCAAGGGCATTATTTATGGGATATATTTCAGACTGAATATATACGACACTGCTGGTATTTTTGTTTTTCCAGTTGAAGAGTTGTTTTCCTGCAGACTTCATGCCACTGGCCTGAACAGTGCTAATGGTGCTTAGGCATAAACACTGGATCGTTATTTTCTAACTGCTGGCTACAAGCGACGGTACAAAGATCAGAAAATACAGGTGGCTGCTGAAAGTTTGAGTCGGCCGTAAAAAGTTAAACATTGTCTTTTTTTCCACACATTACTTTCGCTCCAAATTCCTCAAATCTATTTATGGATATAGATTATAATCATGTGATAGAATTATGAATCAACACCTTAATGTATAGATCTAGTATGGACATTTTACTGGCCTTTTAAACCACTGACCCCAAAAAATCCATCCTCTTTCAATTGAATCCATCGATTTTCAGCTCCGTGGTCGGCTTAAGTTCAGCTCCAACTGTATCGTTCCATAATCTTATAATGCATAGTACTTATAGCACTTCTCATCAAACCCAGAGACGCTGCTTTAGATCTGGCTTCAGGCTAAAAGTGGAACTGTGAGAAAGTCAGAAGAACTCACAGGGAAAGGGAAAATATCCAACTACTGCTGCTCTGTAACGGTACCTACTCAGATAAACCACTGAAATGAACTCTCAAATCCCACGACTAAACCTGGACCCTATTTAACATTACTACTGTCCCACATCTGCCCCGGGACAGACTATCACGACCAAACTACTAATCTGTGCCATTGGCCTGCACAGAACCAACCTCATACTTGTGCACGTGAAGACTTGTATTTTGACCAAATGTAAACCGTACATCCATGAATGTCTGTTATTTCTAATGTAATATAACATCAGCTCAGGGACTAGAGGTGGAAACTAGCTCTTGAACCTGATACAATGCATTTTTCCCTTTGAGGTTAATGTTTATTATACACTGTCCCTGTCATCTTAAATAACTAAACTAAACTAAACTAAACAATGTGGGTGAAGTGACTGGACAAAGGGCACAACAGACATTTGTCCCTTTACAGCCACCGGTCTCCCATCCCAGGACTCACCCACCCCCGCCCTAACCACTTCCGACTCTTTCCGTGGTGTTGAGGTTCCCGTGGATCTGAGGTGTGACCCCGCAGCTCACCCTCAGACTCCTGTAAACACGGCAGGAGATGGCATTCATTTGTCACCTCGGCTTCACGTCTGAAAACCATGTGTTCTCCTTTTGTCGCAGACGCTAAACGACTTACCTCCAATTCACAAACACAGAAGTGACAAACGCTGGAGCGACTGACCCCGACGTGGAGGCACATCTTGTCAGGACATAAATCAATAGGTGCCCAGCGGCGTCGGTGGCATGTGTAGGGGGTGGGGTGACGAAGTGGGGGGGGGTTGTGGTGATACCTCGCTCCCTCTAACTGCCAGCATTAGTTACACATCCATGAAAAGAGTGAATAAAACATTAGCCAGAGTTGGTCCAGAGTTCTTCTACTGTTCCACATGAATGACACAACAATGACACGAGCAGAAGCTGAAACACACAATACAAACTGTTATGGTTTATTTATACTTATGATATATTATTTTATATCATAAGTTACACAGGACTCATGGATTCATGTCTGATTGGTCATTTAAATTGTTTTGTGCATTAGTTTTAGAAGACTAAGTTGTTATGATGTTAGTGAGTAGGTTTGTCTAAATAGATTTAATAGTTAATTTTTTGCAGATAAAATATAATAACGTTATTCAACAGCTCGGACCACTCAAGTGCTTCTGTATATGATGCCAAAAAGCTGATTGGCTACAATTGCGCAGATAAGAAAAGTATTATTTGTGTGTTTGAAAACCAAAATGCAGTTAGCACCTAAAATAAATGCATGTGTATGTTAGGAATGTGCTAAACGGTTTGAGAGAGCTGAAGGCAGATAGAAAAACCTCCTTCTGTTGAATGAAACTCAGGTATAGCACTAAATCTGTGTTTTCACTGCAAAATGGGTCTTCATGAATTGAAAGTCTGTTCACTTTCTGTTTTCCTCTGTCTCATAATAGTGTTAAGTTTTGAGGGATGATTTTCCCGTAGCGTTGAAGACACAGAGTGAGTATAGTCTGCATGTAAACATACTGATTAGGGTTAGTGAGACATTCTTCTTTGGGGAATAACACCCGTCTAAGCTTCTCTGTGGGTTAGATATGGAGATAAAAGTCCAAATGTGTAAACGGCGAGTGTGCGGCAGTAATGGTGCTGTAATGGTGCAGTTGTGTGTCGGCCAGCACTGCTAACCATTGCATGATTTATTCCTTCTGTCTCTGCTGCTGCTGTCTGGGCCTGAGTGTGTTGTGCCAATGCACAGAGGTCTTTATGTAATTGAAGTGGGCCAAAGAAACCCCCAGAGGAACCCCAGAGAAGCCCCCGCCATATGGACCTCAGCAGCTCTGGGGGTCTCTCTGTCCATCCGTCAATTTGTCTTAATTGCCAGAAGCCAGAGCCGGAGCCGGAGCCGGACAGTGCTCTGGACTCTACATGTTAAACACATTCATATTTAATAAGACGATGGACAGAACCGGCTCTGACCACATCATTTTAGACTCAACATGGATTTATGTTTGTATCTGCAAATATTATATTCAGTATTAAATTCACTCGAGCTGCTACTATAAATACTACTGCTAATGCTGCTACTGCTACTACTACTATTACTGCCACTGCTACTGCTACTGCTACTACTGCTACTACTACTGCTACCACTACTAAACGTCGACTACTCCCATCTTTCAGTTTCTTGTTTCATGTATTTTGATAATTTGTCCTTTAAAAAGAATAAATATTTCTGTAGTGAATAGTTTTGGTCACGGCCCAAATGGAAACAGTGTTTTTCGTCCTGTTTCCTTCATCTTTGCAGAGTGTTTAGTAAAATGGATTCTGTGGCTCTAAAACATGAACAAATTGAATCATTTATAAATAAATCCAATCCTTACCAGAACATGTTTGGATCAGAACTTTCCTCTGGGCACAAAGAAATGTCTACGTTGATCTTTCAAACTATGTTAGCGTCGCACAATCCGCTGTGAACGCACCACAGCGTTGTGATTAACACAGCACTATGTATTTATGAATGCACACTGTGTATGTGCAGCAGCGGGACACGCAGAGCTACTTCCATCTGACAAATACGCCTCTTTTCCTACATTTGTTCACAGGTTTTTGCAGCGTTAAAGCCAAGTCCAATCTTGTAAATGCGTGAGGAACATTCCCCACCGGCTCTGACAATGTCGCTTTTTATGGATGGCTCTGTTTCCGCGGCGGCTGCTTCATTACTGTTGCTTTCCGCGTCTAAAGAGGCACAATCCATTTACACAGAGGAGGTCTAACAAGTCAAGTTATTACCGCAGCCAAGTGTGAGATTAATTAACTCGCGGCCGATTAGGAATGCAGGCCCAGGGAGTTTGTGTGAACCATATGCAAGAGCAGGACTATTTGGGATAATAATGATCTGGATATAGACAGTTTTGTTTCACATTTCTACTCAGGTCATGGAACATATCTCCTTCTGCTGTGGTGAATTACTACACAGAAGAAAATCTATTGAATATCTTTGTGTTACATCATCCATGATAATGTGATATCTCCTATCTATCTATGTCTGCTTGTCTGTCTGTCTGTCTGTGTGCACATACAGCATTGTATATATAAAACATTCAACCTCTGTTTTGCTCATACCTGAACAATCTGCATATTTTATTTTGCTTTGAGTTTATTTACTTTTTCTGGGATAATCCTTTTTGCAAATACCAATGTTTTTCTGATATCAAGGAAGCAGTACTTTTTTTGAGACATAAACAAAATAGCAGCAAGTGAAACCAGGAATTTTGATAGTGCCACCTTAGGAGTTTACAGTATTTAGAAGAAAATTTACGGTCAAAAATAACACATTTTAAATAATTTTAATAAATTTATCTTGTGTAAAAAAGTCTCTAACATCATGAGTAGGAGCGGCCTCGGTCCAACTTATACAGTATGTCACGGTGTCATTGTGTCATGGAGTCAACAAAAGCAGCTAATCCGACCATCTTTCCGGGCTCTTCAATGACAGCTGGTATGCACGCATTTCAATCTCCAACCATTTATTCTTTCCGACTGCGGATTCTCATGTTCCGATAATTGTTTTCCAAAAAGGTGCCACTCCTCGCCGCTCTCCGTGTCGCCTTTCAGAGACGGACATATTTTCTGTATGTGATCCTTGTGTGATTTGGAGGCGGTTAACGAACGGGGCGTGTCTGACCCGGTTACATTCCTGCCTCTGAGATGTTGCCCTTAAATCTTTTCCCCTTTGGACCTTTTCACACACATCTGACCGCCGTGGCTTAATGACCGAGCTCTGAGCGTTCTGAAGTGGCTGCTGTACCGTAGGGGATGATTTAAAGTCACCTAGCCCCCTCTTATTCTTTAAACAGAGGTTAGTGAAGGGGCTGAGGCCTAATTACTCTTGTGCAATTCCCCGTGCATCTGCCATTTTGTCTCCCACCTCTCAGGTAAATGAGGCCATACCTGCAAAATTAACACGACCGCTGGAGATAATTGACTTCATAATTATCCTGCGATGTCTTTGTAAATCACATGTGTCAGGAACTAACTGTGTGTGTTTAAAGAGTTTAACAGAGACAACACAGGGATGGCAAGAAAGGAATGATAAACTTAAGGTGGAATTATGAATATTTTAACATCAGATAAAAGGGTTCAGAGAGATTCGTTCAGAGAGATTCGTTCTCAAATCAATCTATAGTGAGGCCATAGACTTCTCACATTAACTCCACAGACTTCATCGACCTCAATAGATCTCTTGTCTTTGATCAGTTGCGATTTTTTTTTGTGACGTGTGGAAACCTAAAAAACCTGAAGAAAATGACAAAAGAAGCGGAAGTCTGGGATTGTGAGTTTTGCAGCAGCATTATTTATCTTAGCTTCCATAACCAAAACATCCAGTGGAACACAGACACGGGAAGATCATGCAAAGTCTTTCCATCATCATTATTTACTGTTTTCTTGTCCATTATAGCTTCACATTGTAACAGAGGTAGTGTCTGTGGTGTAATGATATATAGTTAAGAATATTATCGATCCACGTCCACATCCAGACTTTTCTCTCTTCGCTTTGAAGCAAAACCCATGAACCACATGTTATTTTAATTGTGCGACTGTATTACGGAGATAGTGGTGCATGGGAGAATAGTGCTAGATTGACCTTGTGTTTGCGGAGCGCCAGTCTATTCAAACAGAAAGCTGACTACTAAGCCCTTTTCTAATGCAGCTTACCCGCTCAAAAAGCCATGGTTCTATTCAGTGTTTCTCTTTCTCTGTTATCGGCCGCTCCCCTTGTGTATCTGTGTGTGTGTGTGTGTGTGTGTGTGTGTGTGTGTGTGTGTGGGTGTGTGTTTGTGTGTGTGTGTCTCTTCCTAACCCCCTTTTTGCTTATGTTTATTGTGTTTAAATAATACTTATCTTGATGGGTGAGCATTATGTAAGTATATAGTGGGTTTCCCATGTGACTGTCTGTTGTGTGTTGAGTCAGCCATTGCGCGCACACACACACACACACATAAACACACACAGACTCACACACAGACACACAATAGCCTGAAACCTGCCATTAGAGCAGTGAGGTAAGCAGCACAGCCTCCCATTGAGTCGATATCTCTCTGTTTATTCTTGTCGTGGAAACATCATCACAAACTTCCACCATGAACACTTTCTTTTGCAGAAACATTTATGAGCAGCTTCATTTTTAAACTCAGTGTTTTCAAAGGACACGGTTAAGTGATGTCGCACAATCTCCAACACAGACCTGTACATTACTTGTACACATGTAAATGTCTCCAGTGTGAGATCAATAAAGTCTATCTTATCTTATCTTACATTGTGTTATAGTATAGAAGGTTTTTTTACACCTTTTGACATCTCAGACAGTGCATGTGTCTGTATGAGTATCTGTGTGTATGTGTATCTGTGTGAGTATGTGTGTGTGACAGTATTAATGACATGTAGAAAAACAAAACAGTAGTATTAACAGTATTATGACAACGAAGTCATAATACTGAATAAGCCTCTCCTCTATCACCTGGGCCTCTCCTCTGTCACCCGGGCCTCCCCTTTTTCACCCGGGCCTCTCCCGTGTCTCAGTAAATGCGTGTCTAGTGCGTGAGGTCCGGAGCTCAGGCCTTTCTCCTCTTTCTGTTTCTTTGGTTGAAGTCTTTGGAGACTGTGGTTTTGAAGCCGCGCCCAACGCTGGGAATCAATCTGTTTTCCTGTTTTCAAATCAGTCGCTAACCCCGGTTTCATCACAGCAAATAAACTTAAACACCAGATTGTCCAAAAGATTTAGAACCAGTTATAAATCACTCACAGTCGTTTTACTCGACA